GCCACTAAGCAGCAGTAGGTAAACTCACAGAGTGGGGCTGCCAACTGCTGAAGCTCACAGCTCATAAAAATCGCCTATATGTTGCTTCGTTCACTGCAGAGTTCTAAACTGCCTCTGGTGGCAACATCAATACAAGAACAAGAGCTTCATGAATTGGGTTTCCATGGCTGGGCAGCTGCACATGAGTCTTAGATCATTATGCACAATGCCAGGTGTTACCTGGAGTGGTGTAAAGCGCGCCACCACTGGACTGTGGAGCAGTGGAAATGTGTTCTCTGGAGTGATGAAACACGCTTCAAAATCCAACAGTCTGATGGATGAATCTGGGTTTGGCAGATGCCAGAAGATCACTACCTACTGCACAGTGCCAACAGTAAAGTTTGGTGGAGGAGGGATAATGGACTGGGGCTGATTTTCAGGGTTTTGGCTCGGCTCTTTAGATCCAGTGAATGGAAATATTGATGCTACAGCATATAAAAAGACATTGCAGACAATTATTTGCTTCCATCTTTGTGGCAGCAGTTGTTTCAGCACGACTGTGTTACCCAATGGTATGTGTTCTAGTAATTTCACTATGATTGAGGGCATTTTTGACTACAAAGCAAAGCAGAGGTCCATGTCCTGGCATGGGTTATGTTAGCTTTGTGCTAGTGTAAAACTTGCGGGAAGACAACCTTCAGAAAAGGTCTCAGTAACATTATGGTTCGTTTGTTGTATAATTCATGCTTTGTGAAACCAAAACATAATACTCTGTGTGTTCCCAAAAAGTTGGGACGCTGTGAAAAATGTGAATGAAAACAAAATGCAATGATGTGCAAATCATTTAAACCCTATATTTCATTGATAATGCTTCAAAGACAACATATCAAATGTTGAAACTGAGAAATTTTATTGTTTTTTAAAGAATATTTGCCCATTTTGAATTTGATGCCAACAACATGTTCCAAAAACGTTGGGACGGGGGCAACAAAAGACTGGTAAAGTTGTGTAGTGCTAAAAATAACACCTGATGGTTGATTGCCAACAGGTCAGTAACATGACTGGGTATGAAAGAGCATCTCAGAGAGGCTGAGTCTTTCAGAAGTAAAGGTGAGGAGGAGTTCACCACTCTGTGAAAGACTGCACGATCAAATAGTGCAACAATTCAAGAAGAACGTTTCTCAACATAAAATAGCAAATAACTTTTGCTTTTCATCATCTTTTATCAAGCAATTTAATATACAGTGTAATAAAATACAACATAATAAAATACAATGTTCAACAAAAAATAAATTAGCTCAAAGATGATTCAGTGAACATTCGGTTATTTGATTCATAGCTTTTAACCTGGCTCAGCCAATCAGATCTTGTTATATGATGAACTTGAAGCACATTACACATAATTCAGCATTGCCCAGGTGGGCTCTGAGCTCTAAAGGATATGCGATGTGAACAACAAGTGATCTGAGATCTCATCTGTATTCAAGAGGACGAGAAAGAGAAATGAGTCCCCTTTAAAGTTTACTTACATTGTGAACACCAAAGCACTGAGGTCATTTGCAGCTGACTCTACATGTGAGAACATACTTAGGGCCTCATATCAGTTGGATGGCTCCCTCATGTGTTTGTTGACAGCTACTTACATTTATGTAAATTTCAAATCAGGACTTTATATAGTGGTGAATATTCTGCCCTTTTTCTTGCAGTAATTTTTTCCCTGACATTCGAGTTTCTTTACTCGAAATTCACATCTATTTTGTGCACCAGCTGCTTCTGATTGGGTGAACTCACTCTTGTCTGTTTCCAGGAGTCAAAATCATTTCTGCTTTCTTGTGCAAAGTTCCCACAAGGGCTAGACAGTGAAAGGCCTTATACAGGATTGCCTCTATGTGATACAGTGCAATGCAAGATAAACCTGCAATGTAATTTTTCATGGTCAGATGTTAATCAGACCTACTTATGATACAAGAAAGCTTGAAAAAACATTCCTTTTTGGTTACTGATTAAAGCTGACTAATAATATATTTTAGTGTGGGCCTTTAGCATCTCGTCTTTACGCGAGTGAGACATTTTGTCTACTTTCTCATCGTTTCTTAATGTGTATATTCTCTGCAGTTCCTGTACTGGAGTTCCTTTTGTTGCTTCTGGTTCTTATGCATTTACGCATTTAGCCTGGTCTAAATTAGGGATATTGTGTTAGATAACAATACTGGTGACATATATGAGACTGTGATGATCTTTGAGATGTGTGAGTCACATGATACATGTGCAGAAGTTTCCTATACTTTGTAAACCTTAATTTACCCTTTTGCTGATGTCCTCACAGAGTCAAGGCCTACAAATGTATTGCAGTACTTGGACTACCGGCAGCCAAGGAGGCAGTCTCGCTACTGTTGCAGCACGTGGTGAGGGTCTATGGATTCCTGACCGCCGCGGTGTCCGACCTGTTTTGGACAGAGTATTCACATAACACCCTATGGCACTCCTCGTTAGGGATGTCTCCCTTCAAGAGCCAGTTGGGGTATCCTCCTCCCATGTTCCCTGAGCAGGAGGCAGAGGCTGAAGTCGCTGCAGCCGGTCTGCTGATGCAGCGATGCCAAGGGCGTGACAAAAGGCCTGCACTTAGAGCTGGGCGATATGGCCAAAAACGTTATCACGATAAACAAAATTCATATCGTTCGATATCGATACATATCGCGATAAATGTCAAATCATGATTTCTTTCACATTGAAAGCTGATTTTGCTCCTGGGTGGTTAATTGTGGTTTTAAACTATCACTTATGGTCGGATCATGACAAACACTCGGCAAACAGTGGAACAATTCACACATCTGTCTTGGGACAGTGGGAGAAAGTTTCTGAGCTGTTTTTATCAGCTTGAAAAGCACAGCTGCAATTTTTGTAATAGTCATGATTTAAGAAAGAAAACAGATTATTTTTAGCTGTCTGGTGACGAGCGCTCGGCTACCCCGTTACAAATGCTAAACAAGTGGCCAACAACAGAGCTAAACTCTTTAGTTTCTCAACAACGTCAACTCGGTTCGGTAGGTCACTGCTGTCACTCCTACCACATCCATGTCAGAGCAGATCGCAGTATTCAGACACCAGCTAGCGACGACTGGGTTTCTCTATGCTACCATAGTAGTTTAAGGGGTGAACCGCAGTATATCTGACGTTCGCTGTGTAAAAGCATTATCTGCAGTGTGAATCTCTCACACAGACAAACAGAGTCCTCCTTTTAGGTATGTTTAAACTGAAAGCGGTGATTTTGTGTCTTGTTTGATCTACAGTATCATTAATTCACTGTGTTTTGCCGGAGCGCTGCTTCAAGTTAGACAGCAGCTAAAAACAGCTAGCCTGGAAAGATAGCGCTCTCCCGCTCTCCAATGCCTCACAGCTTCCTCAGTTTACTTTCGTTTAAATCAGGGCTGTAACTCACATTAACCCACTTCTTTCTTTCACTTTCGTTGCTCGAGAATGCACTAATACTAAAATATGACGCTTTGGCGCTGCAGACATGATTTAACACCGCTAAAGCTGTTACGATGTTAGTAAAGAGGTGAGTTCGCTGTAGGACAGTACAGTTACACCACTGACCTCGTCACTCACACTCGGTCACAGGAGAACAGATCGCTGATAACATCCACTCAAACAGGGACTGTATAACTCCCCGTTTCAGCCGTTGCGGGTTTCGGAATGTGAGGTCTGTTCCTGGGGGGTACTGTAACGTCTCGGTCTCCTGCTAGGCCACCCCCGGCCACCAGAGAGAGACGAATGATCTTCTGTGCTCACTTGATTTAAGGAGCGCTCAGAAGAGACTTGCAGCTCAGCCCTGAGTTCATGCTGCTGTGTACACATGTCTCTTGGCCAAGACGGTAATCTCCGGCATTGCGTTCTCAAGCTAAGGGTCTTGGGCCTTTGGTCCTCTCGAGTCAAACCGTCAGTGTAAGTATATTAAAAAAAGGAAAATTTCTCTCTTTTTCTTCTGCTCTCGTAGGGTTTCCAACACACTAGGGGACTAGTCAGCCACCTTGTTAAAGTTTTGCAGCAAATATTTTCACTATCCAGATATTCCTGTGGAGTTCAAGATGCCTGGAGCCCTGATATTTTACCCAAGTGATCAGTGATATACTGTCCACCCATTCCGAGACCCCCCGCTCAATCTCTGTCATTTGCAATATGCATCAAACTAAAGGTTCTAAAAGTGAAGTTTTGTTTTATTACAATTACCATTTCAGAATAATCCTGACCTGCACAGGTGATTGCATAACTGAACTCAAATGAATAAAATGAAATACTATCAGCATAGAAAATGAATATATTTTAACAATAAAAATAGCATTACCACCAACAAGTGCTCATGACTTATTGCCATATCTGTTCATTGATAATCATGTCTGAACTTCAATTCCTTGAACAGTCTTCAAAGTGAACATGATAAACATGAACAACAGAACATGAAAAAAGTTCAAAAATCAGAGAAGCAGTTTGCAAAATGATGTAAAGAATGTATCTGATGGGATGTAGGTAAAAGGTAAAAACAGTATGAACTGTACTAAGTACTATGAAAAGTAATGTAGAGTTTTAATTCATCAGCATGGGGCCAGTCAAACTTCTTGTGACTCTCACAGATTGCATAAGTTCATTATCATTTTTAATGAATTTTGTTTTTGCACACATCATTAACTGACTTATATCTATAAGAAAGAAAACAATATGATACTATTTGAGGAAGAAATGTCAACATCATCGTTTAAAAAAGAGTAAACGCAATGCAACAAACACAACATGAAAAATACTATCAAGATGATGATACATGAAAAATTCGTAAGGGTTAGTCTATCCCACCAGAGAGCAAACAAAGTCAAGAGGACTGGAGTGAAACTACATTATTCTGATAGATCTGAGCACTATTAACATTCATTTTACCTGACCTGCAAAATTTCATACTAAACAGTTTTAAATGCAGTAAAAGGTCAAGTGACCCTAATGCACTTTCTGTTCTCAAATATGGTAACACAGACAGTGATTTAGTCACTGTACAAGGGAAGCTCATTTAAAAAAATGTACAAAGACAGAAAAATAAAGATCTGGTCAAACTGCTCAATATGTTCTGCCTGTTTTGTGCATCATTTTAATAGTTAACGATTAATGTATCATTAAAACACTCTTTTCTCACAGATCCATCTTTTTTGGTCAGAGCATGGTCCATCATTCCAGACCTTCTTATCTGCAGGACCCAGAATTTCACCACAATCTTCATCCCCTTGGTTATTAGGTTCTCCATCCATCCAGTACCTGAAACCCAGAGAATCTGTATCGGTCTATGCATTTTCATTGGGCTTCAAGTCAGGAGAGCGTGCCATGCAAACACCTTCACCTTCTTTTTAGTAATCAGCATTGAGTTATTTGTGTTTTATGCTATGGAGATTCAGTTTCTTGGCAGATGAGATTAAATTCTCCTCTAACATGGTGCACTGTGTAGTTCTGATATGTATATCATGGTACATAGTCATGGAACATATCTTCATTCAGGTTTCTTAAAGCATACTGGGCATGGATCTATTTATATCTTACCTCTGATGACTTTAAGTGTGGATGTAGACAATTCACACATCACTACCGACAAGGACAACGCAACTATTTTCTTCTTTTTTTGGAACTCATTTACATAAATCAGTCTATTCAGCCAACAGCAGCTTAGCCCCACCCATCGCAAGTTAGACAAAAAAAATCTGACTGCTGTGCATCGAGTTCAGTCTGCGGAGCTCCACATTAGGTCTAACAACTCATTTACATATCACTTTAAATTTGTGGTCCTTCTACTAAATATTACTAAATATACTAAATATAGTTTTGTAACAGCAAAAACTGTAGGTACCAAGCCGACCAGTAGGTGTCAGTACTGCCGGAAATATTCAAAGCAAGCTCCCCTCAAAGGAGAAAAAGGACGTGTTCACTGCCCCCAGTTGTTGAAAGACCTTTCCAAATAATGGCTGTATCCAGAAACTTTTGCTACTGCTTCTTTCCTCCCCCTCCCTTCCTACCACTCCTCTCCTACCCCAGAAGAACATGGAGGAATCAAGGAGAAGAAAGGAGGAGGAGACTGGAAAGAAAGAGCCAAAATTGGGGAAACGAGACTGCGGATTCCTTTCAGTCATTCAATTTGATGTTGCTCGGTATGCTCAACAGGGAGACGATAATTCACAATGACGGGTTACGAACAAGCAGACTATATACACAGGGAAACAGGTGTGAGTGATTAGAAGTCAAATAAAACACAGAATTTAAAGTATAGCTGGATTGCTCCATGTTCATCCGTTCTCTCTGGACGTCTGCAGTGCACTCTGAAATCTCTAAAAAGATTTTCTTGGTAGCGTACACTGGTGCATCCTGCTCTTGAACACGATTCGGCGGGTATTTTAAGCGGCTTCTATCATCTCATCCTGTATTCAGACCGTTGGTAAGATGGCATCACAAAATCGTTTTTTGGGAAATGGAGAACAGGAGAATCCTTAGGAAAAAGAAGTAACTTTCAGGGTTTCTTTGTCTCTGGCCTTTCCCTCACAAAGGGGTAGACCTCTAAGGGGGAACCCCTCCTCCATTCAGCCTTTCTCTATTTTCTGCATTACTGAGATAAAGAACAAAGGACCCAGCAACCAGCAGGCCTATCCTGAATTAATTTAACTATTTCAAGTTAATGTAAGTAACTGTGGTGATCAGCTGCTCAAGCTAATCAAGAATTACCAGCTTATTTAGATCATCTATTTTGTTTAAATCTGTCTCTATCTGTCTCGCACATATATAGTCATTTAGCTCATATTCAGTGTAAATATACAGATAATTGTTAATTATTTTATTTGTATCTTAGAGTAGATTACGTGTTAACATATGTTTCATTTATTTTCGCCAAGTTGTCTGTCTTGACATCATTCAAATTGTGGTTGCTGCCAATATCTATATGTCACATTTATTAAAATCTTAAAAAATCAAATCATTGATATAACTTTTAGATAGAAATTAGAGATATTTATGAATTGCTTATTTATGAGACTGATATATCAAATTGTGAGACTGATTCCTTAATGAAGAAGAGATTATGATTTATGAGGCGTGGTGTTAATATTATACAGCAAAACCACTAAAAATATAACAGTACCTTCAGAACTGCAAAGTGCCCATTATATGAGATGAGATAAACGTGGCTTAGAATGTAGTTATTCAGTTATTCTTACGCAGTGGTCGGTGCTGAGCCATCCACCCATTTCCATTCGTCCTCTCTTTCAGTGTCCGACCAATCCAAGCTCGATTACTGCCCAGCTTTCTGGCAATTAATTCCTATAATTATAATAACAAAATCTGAAGATGCACAACTAAAGAACAGTGATTCTCTCTCTTTCTCTCTCTCTCTCTCTCACCTGTTCTTCTCTGCTGTTTATGATCACCAGGTCTGCTCTTCTTCCTCTGCAGTCCTGTCTGCTCTCAGTCCAGTTCTTCACTTCAGTAGAGATGACGTAAAGACTGGTGCTGAAAAATGTCCAGTCCTCCCGCACTGCCTTCTCTATATATGTGAACACGAAGAACACACATGTACACACACTCAGACACTCGGATCAAAGTATTGATAATCGTTCTTTATTGGTAAAGTTCTCTGAGTGGCTTATAAGAAATTGCAATATGTACAATAAATTATGTAATTATGGTAATATTCTGACCCAAAATCTGTGCTGGGTTTAGATCTGATTGGCTAAAGTATGGTTTTACAGAATAATTCACCACAGTCTCCTCCTATCAGCGCTCTGGACTCCACATCCCTGGCTGTGTCCCTCTCACTCACCTGAATCAGTTTCTAGCAATCAGTGCTCTCTTTAAGCTCTGTGATGTATTGTTTTGCTATGGCGTGTCTCTGAACTCTGTTTGTTTGTTGCCAGTGCTGTTATTTCTCTGTTGACTTTTTGACTATTCTGTTCTGTTGACTTCTTAACTATTCTTCCCCTCCATGTGTTTAAATGTGTCAGCTTACCTAAAGAAGGACATTTTTTCTGAAGGTCATCCATTTTATTTTTTATATTGATGCAGCTTGACTCCAACTGGTTTTTGTCTATAGTCAGCTTGGTGCAACTGGTCTGTAACTGGTTTCTCTCTATAGTCAGCTTGGTGTAACTGGTCAGTAACTGGTCTCTCTCTGTAGTCAGGTTGGTGTTTTTGGTCTGTAACTGGTCTCTCTGTATAGTCAGGTTGTTGAACTTGATCCATAGCACTGTAATGGCAGTCAGCAGGAGAACACACAGCAGCCCCAGACACACTGCAGTCAGTCTGTAGCATCTTCTGTGGGCAGTGCTCAGTCCTGAAAGTACATACGTGCATATTTCACTGAATGTGTAATTGTTGTGATGTTAAACTAAGAAGATACTAACATGTGATACTACAAATACTCTGTCCTTGTGTGATAGAGAGTGAAAGGCCTTATGCTGTTGTGCTGCTGTTGAGTTAGTCAGTTATGATTTTAAACACTTTACGGAACACATTTTCAACAGATGCCCTGATGTTAAAATTTCAGTGTTGAGTAGTTTTGATTCTGGAACTGTTTTTACACCGAGTGTGTTAATAAAACTCAGAAACTGGTGGTATCAGGGTGTACATGCACTGCATTCTCTGCTCATCATTTATGGCAGTTGCTGGGAATGGAGCTTCCCAGTATTTGTTGATCACAATGAGTGTGTTATCTGTCCATAGGCATTAATATGGAGTTGGTCCCCGCTTTGCAGCTATAACAGCTTCCACTCTTCTGGGAAGCTTTCTCCAGGATTTTGGAGAGTGTCTGTGGGAATTCTTTTCCATTCATTCAGAAGAGCATTTGTAAGGTCAGACTCTGATGTTGGACGAGGAGGTCTGGCTCACAATCTCCGTCTGTGTGATGGGGTTTAGGTCAGGGCTCTGTGCGGGCCAGTCAAGTTCTTCCACACCAAACTCACCCAGCCGTCTCTTTACGGACCTTGCTTTGTGCACTGGGACATAGTCATGCCTGAAAAGAAAAGGTCCTTCCCCAAACTGTTCCTACAAAGTTGGAAGCTTACAATTGTCCAAAATGCCTTGTTATGCTGAAGCATTAAGATTACCCTTCACTGGAACTAAGGGGTCTAGGCCAACCCTGAAAAACAACCCCATAACATTATCCCTCCTCCACCAAACTTTACAGTTGGCACAATGCAGTCAAGCAGGTAATTTTCTCCTGGCATTCGTCAAACCGAGACTCCTCCATCTGACTGCCAGATAGGGAAGCCTGATTTGTCACTCCATAGAACACGTTTCCACTGCTCCAGAGTCCAGAGGCAGCATGCTTTACACCACTCCATCTGACACTTGTAACTTGTAACTTTACGTGGTCTGATACTTCGTGACTGAGTTGCTGTGGTTCCTAAACACTTCCACTGTTCAATAACACCACTCATAGTTGATTGTGGAATATCTAGGAGGGAAGAACTTTCTTCCACAATGACTTGTTGCAGTGGTGGCACCCTATTTCAGTAAAGGCAGACTGCATGGCTAGGTGCTTTATTTTATACACCTGTGGCAAAGGGACTGAATGAAACCTGAATTTGACAATGTGTGTCCCAATACTTTTGTCCATGCAGTGTTTATAGTCAAAGCACACAATCCCAGATTCTGATAATGGATATTTTTAGATATTTTAGTTTTAACATGTAGATATTACAGAACTTTGTATACATAGCCCCCTCCCACTTTCAACGCACCATGCACTGCAAAGAAATCTTATCTTGGCAAGTGAAATTATCTTAAATCTAGCAGATACATTTTTAAAATTTAGATTTTTTAAGATTTTTGTAAGTATATTATAAGAATATTTAATTTATTTCTGGATGTTTTTTATTTGTTTTAAGTGATTTTAGTCAAATTATATCATTATGTTGGCAGATGATTTTGCTTGTTGTAAGAAATATGCTTGAAACAAGCAGAATTATCTTAGAAGATAAAAATGCAGCCCAGAAAATAACCCAAACTTACTATTTAAAACATTACCAGATGTTTAGTTTGTTTTAGGCAAGTGAACGATACGTAATAAAAATAATACCTACTTTATACTTGAACATAACACAAAGTTTATGGTAAAAAATTCTATAACAAGATTACAGATTAAATATAACTTCGTACTCTGCGTCTGGTGGGGTGGGGGGCTCCTGTAATGGACCTGATTCGGTGCCTCATCATTTCAGAAACATCATGCATGCATCTAAAGATATTATTCTTCCCAGTGAAAAAAAAAAAAAAATCTTCCAATGGGGGGGAAATGTCCTGACTCTTTGGTCCTCGAGGAGATACCGACTCAGAGAAGAGGTTTTGTTAGCCTAGCTAAGTGTCTACTGTAGAGTGGAATTTTATTGCTGCAGGTGATCTCAGCTATTTCGAATCTTAGAAAAGTGGCTTCTCTGCTGTGTTCAAAATAAAAGAAAATTTTTCAAGCAGATATTATGATCTCTCCTGACTCTTCGGCACAACACTGCAGTACTATAACCATCCACTTACAACAGGCACTAGTTGACTTGTCAGCTAGCTAACTTATATCTTCCCTTACTCTGTAACTACTTTCTGTTTAGCTCTGTATATGAATACTTGAGGCCGTGCTGAGGACTGATTCTGGGCTCGTTTTGAGGAGGGGCTCACGGTTGCTGTTTTGCTTTCACATTCAGGAGTTCGATCCAAACTGTGAATCGATTGTGTAATTCCATACATCACATTTCTGCGTGCAGGTTTGCACAATGGTTGGCACTAGCCTCATCCATTTGCTGCTTTTTATTGTTGTCCTCAGATACACGCACTTTAGCGGCAAAGAACAGTCCTCAACAATCCTTTCCTGCCATCATGTAACTTGAAAAGGGAAGTACTGCGTTAAGTCAAAGCAGTCGTGTTACAAAATGAACCAATCACTGGAAGCAAAACCCAGACCACCGATTTCAGGAGGACCAGAGATCAGTTCTCTGGGCCACTTCCGTGCTCGAAAACAGCTTTCACACTTGACCAAATGTACCGAACTTGCAGAGCAAGTGGACCTGGGTCTGGAAAATAGCTGTAGTGTGTGTGAATTACAGCTTGTCAGACAGACAATATTGTCTCTGTCTTTTTCACCAAACTTGTGTTTGGTGGAAATTAGGAGTTAATATTAGTCTTGGAAGTTAGATTTCTTTAAATTTAGAGGGTTGGGTCATACGTGGCTGCTTAAGAAACAAAACAAATTATTAGATTTCTGGGCATGTTTTACGACTCTTGGAAATGTATTTGGTGTGAAGAGGGGGGAAGATTTGAAAAAGGACAGACGGCCCTCCATAAATAGTCAGAAAAGTTGATGTCTTTAATCCTCTGAGGGCCGAAATGGCAGACTGGCCAGAGACAGCGGCACTCAGCTCTGTAGGTGGTGGGGGTTTTAAACAAACAGGCCTGGGTTTGGGATGTGAGGCCTTTGGAGAAAACCAGAATGGGCCTTCTTCACTACAAAAGTACAAAAACTTACTCTTCACTACACTTCCTACAATGATACCACATATTGTGCTAAGGTAAAAGTGGTTCTGGTTACTCACAATGGCTGCCACATCATTCATCTATGCAGGGAAATTTATTTTTCTTTTCATAGACTGAAGTAAGTCATCCCGTGTTCTAAACCACATTGATGCGTCTGTCTTTTAGATATGTATTTACAGAGTTTGGTCCAGTGTTTGTTAGCAGTGTTAGCCTAGGATCTCCCATTGTAAACTAAAGTCCTTGCTGATCAGTTGCATCTTGGGTGATTTACTAACTGTTCCATTAAAAGATAATTACACCCCCCACCCATGGTAATCATAGGAATGCATGGCCTTAAATGGTTTAATGCTTGTATAAAACAGCAACAAACCATATGTAATAAAATGTGATGTAATAAAATACAATGTTAATGAAAATAATACAGTTCAAAATGATTCCATGAATGATGTTGACCTTTTACTGTTTAATACCATGGCACTATTTTTTACAGCTTCAAACATGTTATATAATGAACTTAAACCACACTACCCATGATTCGCCATTACCCATGTGAAGTCTGTCTGAGTTCGAAAGGACTTGTGGTGTGAACAACAAATGGTTTGAGATATCAGTGTTGAAGAGGAACAGAAAGTTTGCTTTAAAGTGTGTTTATATTACGAATACAAAGCTCTGAGGTAATGTGCACCTGGCTTCCTTTCGGGTCATGGTTTGATCATATATGTGTACACACATACAAAGAAAATGAGTTTTTTTGTGTGTGTAAATGTAAGCAGCTGTCAACAACCACAAGAGGGAGCCATCCAACTAACATGAGGCTCAAGAGGTGTTTTCACAAAAAAAATTCTAAGTGAGACAGAACTATACGTGGTAAGACCCTTAGGGCCTCAGATCAGACTTTATATGATTTGGTGAGCCAGTCCTCTTTCTTACAGGGAAATTCCCCCAACTGAGCTTGCTGTGTTCTCTTTTGTTTATTTGTGTTTGCTGTGAGCAGTGAGTCCTGGTTTATTTTTTTAAAATATCTGA